TTTTAAAATTTTAAATTACATAATAAATAATAACTCTCTTTAATAATCCCCTTAACAATTAGTTTTTAAAAGTACTTAAATCTCACGACTTAATAATTATCAATCGATTTGTAAAATATATCCCCTCGATTCGTAAAATGTTGACGATGAATATTTTAACATTAATTACTTCCCTATGAAGGATATGGAAAAATAAATGCTAGAAGCAAAACATGCAAAATTAATCAGACATCAAATACTAAAAGCCTACAATAAATTAGCATTGAGCCTACCAAGTGATAATAACCACCTCATGGTGCATTCATCCCCCCTTCTCTTGGGCTGGGGTTCGACCCAGCCCCTTGTGAACCTGTTAAAAAAAAAAAAAGCCTACAATAAATTAAGATAATTCTAATCAATGTTTTCAAAACCGAATCGGTTATTGAACCATTTTTAGGTTTGGTTTTTGATTTGACCGATTCAACCGGTTAAACCAATGAACCGATCAGTCCAAACAATAAGGAAGGTTTGATGAGAGGAGCAAACTGTAGACATGGATTTTTTTATTTGGTGTTGATAATTTTGTAATTTTGTTAAAGTTAAAGGTTAAAATGGGTATAAGAAAAGAATGGGAAGGGTGAAATTGGAAAAAATTGAAAGAAGATTGCATGAGAAATTGAACCGGTAGTTTTTCTGGTTCCACCGGTTTATCGGTTTTTACTGGTTTTCACTGGTTTTTACCGGTTTTATCGGTTTTTTACCGGTTTTTGACCGGTTTTTACCGGTTTTTACCGGTTTTGACCTCAAACGGTTTTCTTATGTGAACCGAACCGTTTTCATCACCAGATACCGGTCCGACCGGTTCAACCGTCCGGTCCGGTCCGGTTTTAAAAACCTTGATTCTAATTTCAACAATGCTAAGAAGGAGAAGGTCAGCAATGAAGTCAACAAGGGGAGGAGGGGGTGGCACATAATTCCTGGAACATCCCATGCCGATGCATTCTGTTTCAGCCGCAGGTCGCAGCCTCTGTCCCTTTCTCATCAACTGCAATGCATGCCCCCTGAATAACTCCAACTGTCGACCCTAGGATCCAGTTTCACGCATTGGCTTTATTATCACCATCTCAGCTAGGCGAGGGAACAGAAACTCCAACTACGTTATATTATCTGAACCAATTTATTAATGTTCTGAGGCCGTCAATTTCATCCGGAAGAAAGAAGTACATGTAGAAGTATTTATTGTCTTTGAATGAGTATTTATAAGGCATTATGAGAATTCTAAGTCCCTCAAGGGAGGCGTAGTAATGGTATACACAGAGGAGTCGGCCATGAAGGGAACGTCCACTGTTTGGCCGTTGAGAGGTGAAACGGTTTTTCTTTCGTCAGAGATTCCTTAAACTGTTTTTGTAATGCTGCTTTAAAATACAGTGTATTTACGTAGAAAGAATTGGTTCCCCATAATGATGGCAAGCTTCAGAGGCAGTTGCCAGAACCTTCAACTTCGTGGACCTATCGTGGTGTTTTCGCTTCCAGAACACTAAGGAATTTCTCCAACACTTGCCCTTTGGTTCCTGCGGTGATCAAATACAGGAAGAAACTGATTGAGAGTGGGGAAGTAAGGAAGTTCTGTTGAAAACCGTCATCGGCTAACTTGAGCAGAGCCTGCCTCACTATCTGCAGGCGGAAGTTCTCTCCGCTGCCTTTGGCTGCTAATGCTTGGTCAATTGCTGCTAGGGCTTTTGATCAGGGTTTGTAAAGAATAGAGAGGACTGCTTTGATCAATTGAGATATATATTTTTTTTTTACGTGAAGTGTGCACACCCGAGTGTTGAATCCGGGTGTGCATCAATCATGGTCCATATAACAAAAAATTATACTAATTTATTTATCTATTTGTATATAGTGTAAAAAATTGACAAATTTTAATCTACAGATAGTCTTTTTTTATTTGCCAAAGATCTTATTTACCTAATATCTTGTCAATTAGTCCAACTACATTATATTCTTATTTAAAGGGTCAAGTGTGTGTTACATAAATTTTCTTACTTTGTTTAAAAAATCAAGTTGCATTAATTTGTGTGAGGCTGTATAAATTTTCTTTACGATTTGTCTTTGCTTAAATTGTAAAGTTTTCATCCTGTTTATTTTTCTACCTAATTGTCAAACCATTGTTTACTATCTAGTTGTTTTAGTCAAGCTTGTCTTTTTATTTTGTTTTTATTTGTTAGTGTTTAGCTTTTCTTTTATCAATATTTGTTATTATTTATCTTTATAACTTTGTTATCGGATATTATTTGTTATTGTAACTATGTTATTATCTATTACTACACTGTAATTTATTTTATTTTATTTTATTTAGTCAATGATTTTTATCTTTGTGATTATCATATGAATCTAAACTATTTAAATTTAGCTATCTTGCATCTAGATAAAAAACCAAAAATAATTTCAAATAATTATAAGTTAATGTGTAATTTTTTAAATTTTTGTTAGAATTTACATTCAGGTAATAGCTTATTAAATTGTATTGTAGATTTAATTATAAATTTTTTTAAAAAAATTATAAAAAATAAAAAGAAAAAGAAAAAGTAGTGTTTGTACTGTTTCAAAGTTTTGAAAAGCATTACAACAAAAATATTATAAAATAATTAAACATTTGGATTGCTTGCAACAATAAATTGAATTCGTCAAAAACAAAATCAATTTAGTCAACTCCCAAATTTTGAATAAAAGGGAGTCAGACATTTTTATTCAAAATATTTATTATCAAACAACTATCTTGATCCAAAATTAAAAGAGTTAATAAAATAAGTCCAAAAACTTCAAAAATTAAGTCTTGGTTTGAATGAATGAAACCTCTATCAAGAAGCCTTGAATGAATCAGGAAAATTAAAAAATCTCTATGGATTAACTAACTTTCAACCTTTAGTAATATCCAAATTATTTTGTTATTATGCATCCCACAGTAAACAAATTTAGGAAGAAACTGATTGAGAGTGGGGAAGTGAGGAAGTTCTGTTGAAAACCGTCTTCGGCTAACTTGAGCAGAGCCTGCCTCACTATCTGCAGGCTGAAGTTCTCCCCGGTGCCTTCGGCTGCTAATGGAACCAAGTGAAACATCACCGAAATCCTGAGTAAATTCATAATGGTACTCACTCAAAATACTTTATATTAAGATTATAAAAGAGAAACGAGCCTAATCTTTAATGACTATGAAAATATACTTCAAGTTCAAATATGGGATTCCACCATTTAAAAAGATTTTTTTTTTTTTATGGTATAAAGATTTGACTTTTGATTAATTGATTTATTCGGCAAAAATCATTTTTTTTATTGAAACATAAAGAAAAGTACAAAAAATAGTATGCATTGTTCAGAGTTCAGACTGTGAGAGGACACCAGCAAATTTGGAGAAGGAACTCAAAAATTCATTTACATGTAAATAATATAATCTACTTAACAAGCAAAATGCATCGTCTCAGAGATGAAGAAGGTTTGAGATCGGATTCCACCCCATAATCCATGGCCTCTTGTCAGCTGGTAGTGCAAAGTTAAGTTCAAACATCTCCTTTGACATGTTGCCTCCTTCACAAAACCCTACAAGCTTTGCCACTATTTCAGCACTCTCCTCTATGTGCCTGGGATCATGAGGATCTGTCCAGAGTTTGTTTATAAATTGCAGTCTCCTATGCTTCCCCTCCACAGGTACATTCCATTTGATGTACAATGCATCTCTTTCCTCTGGACTCAACCGTGAAGACAACCTCTTTGCAAGAAATTCCCTTTCGCGCCTCAATGCTCTTATACTGCTCAACAAAATGGATATAGAATTCAGAACTTAAGCTACCAACAAATTGGAAGCAATAAGCAATTCATATTGCAATAAGTTTCAAGTGATGAGAGATAGAACCTTGATGACAAAGAAATTGTGGGTTCATCTCCCACTGGGGCAGGGCTTGCATTTCCAAGTTCTGTGAAGTGCTGTTGCAACCAAGTTAAGCGCCTAAGCTCTACTTCCATGTATATTTGATCAGCAGGGTCCCCCTTAAATAATAAATAGAACTGTGTCCTATGGATAATGGAGACGAAGCACACATCCCATAACTCAATAATCTGCTGCCTTTGCTCCTTAAATGTTATGTGCCATGTGATCTGAGACTCCCCTGGCTCATTAGTGCTTTCATCATTCTCTATATTGTATCCAGCTGCTTCAGTGGCTTCAAGCTCAAGAACCTAAATGAACAACAAAAACAAGGAAAAAATTTCTGTGAAAGAAACACGAGTGAAAGGTAAATGAGCATGGAGAAGAATAAAATGGTTATACCTGACAAACAAGTAACTGCTTCTGATATTGCAGTTTAGCAACACGTTCTTTCAGTTCTGTAACATATGCTTGTATGCTTCTTACATTCTCTTCAGCTGCATTTTGAAACATTTTCTTCATTTTTTTCATGTTAACTGAACTTGAATGCCTAGACCCTGGAGTGCCTTCCTTTGACGAGGCATCTCCTCCCTCTTCACTCTTACTTCTAGGAGTTGCTTTGTCATGCTCTTGAATAATTTCTCTAGATACAATGTCACTATTCTCCGGAGCTCTATTTTCTTCATTCTCAGGCTCCAGTACTTGCTGAGAAGTTGATAAAGGCAAGCAGGGAGATTTTATAAAGTTTTGCCGGTTGGCAACACAACTAGAACTTAAAGGTAACTTCTTCTTCTTTTTAGACTGATTCTTAGCTTTAGGGGCTGCTTCACCATTAGATTGTTGAGCATTGCCTGGCAAAGACATTACTAACTTATCAATTGATCTCTGAACGTTCTCCAGTTGCTCCTCAAGATTGGCAATTGTGTTGCCCTGTGAATGAAGCCTTGTTATCTCCTCCCTGAGATTAGCACTGACACTTTTGTTGGGGGCCTCCACGGTTGCAAATTCAACTGCCTTTGGAACTGACTGGACAGCACGCATTTCCCTGATTTCTGCCTGCAGCTTGGCAATTGTCTCAGCTGCATCTTGGTTACCTAGTCTATGACAAGCCACCTCCTTTTGAAGAACCTCTAGAGCTCGATTGGCTTCCGCTCCAAGCTGCTCCTGAAGGTGTTCAAGTTTTCGAATTTCATGCATAAGCGTAAAAGGAGCAGTTGATGACTGCCTAATAGACTGCCTTAGCATTGCTTTCATTGTTCTGTCATTCTGGCCCAGTTCCTTGGCTTCCAGTTTTGGTGACAAGGCATCAGAGTAAGACAAACACTTTTTTGCCAATGGATGTGGTGATTCAGGTAGATTTGAGGTCTGCATATATAAGAATAAGAAATCAGTTGAAGTTATTGATTACTGGGAAGAGTAGACAAAATCAGGAAGGGAGAAAACAGAACCTGCTGATCGTTCTGAATTTTTCTGCGTAACTCATCCACATGTGATTCTGCAAGGTCCCTTTGGCGTCTAAGTTCTTCCATTTCCATTTCCATCTAGAAAGCAAAGAAACAGAAGGGAGGTAAGATGATATTATAGATTCATTCTCTGTATCATATAATCTGGAACCAAGCCATCGTATATAGCTAATCACCTGCTGGATTTTTAAGTCTTTTTCTCTGGAAGGATCAGGAGTGCGCAACTCTGCTTCTAGCCTGGCTACTTCTTTCTGCAAATGTTTCACCAGCTGCTTATCTGAAACCACCTGAAATTATTTTTAAAGGAAAAAGATCAGCATCACTAGTGCCAGTTGGAAATTCATCAAAGGACATATGAGCTTAGTTAGAAAGAAAGATGAGTACCATATTGACTTGGGCATTGTTTGTCACTTCCTTTGCCCGCGTAGCAAAGAATAGTGTATTTCGAGATTGTTCAACATGGCTTAGTGCTGGACTTAGAGTACAAATGATAGCAGTACGTGCATTCCCACCAAGTGAGTGTTGCAGTATGCGAGTAAGCTTTGAGTCCCGATATGGTATATGACCACTTCTTTTTCCAACACTAAAAGGAAAAAATTGTGCAGCAACAGCAGAAAAAGAAACCAGCTAGGATTTATAATGCAATAAAAACCGAAGTTGCAAACAGAAAGTTTTACATCCACCATACATTAATATTAATAAACTTTTGTCTGAAAGATTGGACAAGAACATAGGTAGAAGAACTAATATTACCAGTGAGCTAGTTTAGCAATAGATTATCAAATACTAATACATTATAGCATTAATATAAAAACTAACATTACTGCTTATGCAGTTGAGTCCATGCAGCTAATTTGTACAGGTAACCACAATAAGCATTTTACAGTAAGTTCAATACAATGCATGGCATATCATATCAAGTTGAAATATTAGTTTCCAGAATGCAAAGTTGGCCTTGGGAATTCCTTTAGCCAGACAAAAGATAGAATGAAATTGGTATATTCTTTAAATCATTTTCCCTTGAGTTTATAGTATGAAGTAACTTACTCTAAACACAAGAACATTGAATCAAATAACACTAAAGTGGCTGTGCAAATATCTCAAATGTTTGGAGAAATAAATACTCAATGTGCAAACAGGATGCTGAGATAGATTCTGACCTAAGTTTTCTGATTACGGTTGTCAGAGTCATTAAACTAAGGTTAATATGACAACCCTCTCTGAGCCTAGCACCATCTGCATGTGTCTGTGAGGCTCTTTCACTTCCAGCTAGATCCACAAAGTTCTGCAAGTTATGGATTGCAGCAGTTATGATAGCAAGAGAAAGCAACAACATTTGTATTTATTTGCTTTGGATGAGGTGATAGGATTTTCATTTATTACCAGGCTTGCAATGAATGATCTCACACAGTCTGAATTTTCACGTAGTGTACTCTCAATTGTCTGCATCAGTTAGGCTAGGTAAGTCATGTGCTAGCTTTCACAGGAAAAAGTAAGTCCAGAAGTAAAGCGTCACCTGTGGAACTTACCAGCCTTATTATTTGGTGTGACCGTGAGCTTGTATCATTTAAAGCAGTTTCACCAACTTGTCTTTGAGCTAAAACCCCAGAATAACCATATCCAAATATTAATCAGAAAACCTATGGGGAGGGAAACTTAGCTAACTCAAATCATGTGCTTCATAAGTTACCTTCACAAATGCTGATCAGATGTCTTAGATGTTGATCATTTTTTGCTGTTTCTTCCACCAACTTCTCAACCACGGTACCTTTCTGTAAGCAGAGATTGCAAGAAATTTGGTAAATGAAAGAACAAATAACTGAGGAATCATGAGCATTTCATTCCTATATAAAGAACTTTATATAGACAATTACCTCAGGATCATCTAGAAGCTTGAGATTGCGACCAGATTCTGAATTTAATAGGTCCTTAACATTCTCGTTATAAATTTCTAGGCCAGATATCTTTATTGTAAAATCTCTCTCTGGTGTCTGTGACAATGCCAAGGAACACACACACAAACACACACACACACACACACACATACACACACACAAATAAAAACAAAAAAAAACAGTTCAGGGTCTCTTAATGCACATTTGTCAAGAATCAAAGTTCTGTTTACAATCTATTATCACTCAAAAACTACAATTACAACTTCTCCATTGTAGCTTACATTCAATATATGATTATAGATGTCATTAACAGCTTTCTCTGTTACTCCTCTCATTGTGTATGTCTTCCCACTGCTAGTTTGACCATATGCAAATATGGTTGCTGCAACATAACTTAGTTGGTTAGTAAACAAAGTCCTCTAAGGTAATAAACAGACAATCAAAGATAAAGCTGTGCACTACCATTTATGCCCATCAAAGCTGACAAAGCAATATTCTTCACTCCTTCCTCGTATACAGTCTCAGTCAAACAGACCGGACCAAACACTTTGTCTGACGAGGGAAAAAAAAAAACTCAGATCTTGAGTTGTATGACATTAAAACAACTAAACATCATAAAACCATAGAAGTATAGGGCTCATTTGATTGGAGGAATGACTACCATTCTTGTTCAAGGCATAAAAAACATGGCCAAGGAATACCTATTCCTTACTCCTTACTCATCTCCTAATTTAGTATACAAAATGGACAACTTAAGGCTTACATATTCCTTGCTTATCAATCAAGTTTCTTGAATTTACCTTATTTTTATAGTTTGATCAAGAAATATGCATCACTCTTACCAAACATTACCTGAATCAATAAAAATGATCCAAATACAAATAGAGGCAATAATTAAGTTACCAAAGGTAAATGAAGATGGTTGAGCTGAGCGGTCTTGAGGTGGGGGTTTAAACACAATCGTTTGATCATCAACACATTCCCAAGCGACTTGATCTTTGGCTAACTCCTCCCTTTTACTAAGAGGCCTCAATCGAACTGTGACAACAATCTTCTCTTCCTTGGCTTTTGGCCCTCCAGGCGTTGATACGGGTGTCCTATCTACCTTTGTAGCTGGAGTTCCAGGAGTTCTGAGTGTCATCTTCGTTGCTCAAATCTAGCTCTTCTCAAGTTAACTTAGAAGACCAAGTAGCACAGTAAGGGGTTCTCCTGGAAGAAGCTAAAAAGGAATCCTTTTCCAGCAAAATTCCACAGTATAGAATGCATCATGCAAGTTTATGCTTTTTATAAAATTGCAAAATGAGTCCCATAATACTTTCTTACAAATCTTACAATCCTTCCACATGATTAATTCCAAAATGCCCATTTTAAGGTCGTTCTGCAGATTCATGTCACTCACAAACCAAAATTTTGATTCTTTTAAATTTTTAATAGGATATTTAATGAGTTTCATATTTTATTTCAGTTTGAACTACAATTATTGAAATGATTAAAATATTATTAACAAATTAACATAAAGAAAATAACACATTTTTTTATTTTAGAAAATTCATGGCATGGAAAAGCACAATAAAGTACAATTCAAACTGAAAATTACTTTTTTTGTTTAATAAATTGTAGAAAATAACTTAACGAAACAGAAAAATCTTTGAACATGTGAGAGTTCTGCAGCAGCGAAGAAAAATGAATAACAGAGTAAAGTATCAGAAAAAAGGAAACTTCAGTTTCTTCGATTTATTTTTCATTTTAGCATAATTTCAATTTCATCCCGAAGCCACAACCTAAGCAAAAAAAGCACAGCGCAGATTCAGAAACTACGAAACAAAAATGAGAGAAAAACAGATACTTACTCACTCAAGCTCCAGAGCAAGACGATCTAAGATCGAAACAGTAAGCAAAGCTCCTCAAGAATCGAGAATTTTAATAAATCAGGTAAGGAAATGGGAGCGTAAACAGAAAGGGAGAGCATCTAAGGTTGGGCGAAGAGTGCTGCTGAGTCTTTTAATGGGAATGAAAAAGCAAAGTAGAGTGAGAGAGAAAGAGGATTTCAAATTTGAGGTGGCTCTGGCTTTAACGGCTACTTCATTTTGCTCTGGACTTTTCCTTCTGTTTTTTTTTTTTTTTTTTTTTTTCAATTTGGTTTTTCTCGCCGTACTGTTGTTGGTTATTTCTCGTGATTTTAATCGCCGGAGTTGAGCGCGACGACGGGGCCCTCGTTTCCAACATCTTAACGGATTACCAACGACCTACTGCTTAACGGATTAATAAGGAACTTTTGGTCGAATGGAAGTAGTTTACTTCAACAAGGTTATGATGCTAAATCGATTTGATTTTAAATTAATTGAAATATAATGTAATTTTAAATATTGAAAGTTAAAATTAAAAAAAAAAAGAAAAAGCATTCTAACGGATTTTGAATTTAATCGCAGCAGTTACTCTTACCCTTTGCAGGAGTTAAGCACTAATATTAGTATCTTTAATGAATTCTTTCATACAATGTTAATTTATTAAGAATACATAAAATATTTTTAGGGTTTCTTTTGCTTTAAATATAATTTTTTATTATAAATTTATATTAAAAAATAAAAATTAATTTTTAATTTATTTATTATTTAATTAAATTTATTTATTTGATGCTATTACTAAAATTAATAATATTTTTTATATTTTTTAATACATATTTATAAAAAAATAACTTTAACTAGTCCAATAAAAAACATAAGATAAAAAAACTCATATTTTTTTAATTTAAACTGTTCTAAAATTAGACACATTTTTCTAAATCTTAGAAATTTTAGACAACACTTATGCAAATATCGTTGATGTGAGATTCACATTACAGTGAATAATTATAAAAAATTCATATTACCAATTTTTTTAAATATTAATAAGAAAGTATTCATAAGTAATTTATTTAATACTCATGTAACATAATTTTTATTATTATTTTTTATTTTAAAGAAATATATGATATTATATATATGAATTTAATATTAAACTAAATTTTTTATTTGTATCTTATTTTTTATTAACATTCTCTATAATTTTTATTTTAAATTAATATTTTATAATTTAAAATTCATAAAAAATATAAAAATTAAAGGTCAAATCTTTATATTTACACTCTGATTTTATTGATATTTTCAATTTTTTTTATGAATTTTAAATTATAAAAAATTTTATTGAAAATAAAGTTCCTAAAAAATATTAAATATAAAAATAAAAAAATAATATTTAAAATATAAATAAAAGATTCTGCCTAAACATTATGAGACATTAAAATTTTTTATTATTAAAAAATAAAAAACAATATTAAAATTGAAAGTACTTTAAAAAGATCACTAAATTTTAGTTCAATGTATCTAACAATTTTTTTTTTTTTAAATCTCTCCATCCATTTTGGTAGAAAACTTCAAATTGAAAGTTCCTAAC